AATGAACGGGTTTAAGAGTTTTTAAGAGTTTAAGAGTTTTAAGAGTTTAAGAGTTTTTAAGAGTTTTAGTCAAATGCATTATAATATAGTATAGATATATATATATATATATATGTGTGTGTATACGTGCATATATAGACAGCTAGTTTCATACAAGAATGATACTCATTTAAGAAAATAGAAGAATGACCAAATTACATATAAAATCACATATGATTTTATATTAACGGTCAAAAAAATGTGCGACAACCCTATGACCGCATAGTAAGGTCGCATAAATCACATTTGATTTTATACGTGACGTTAGTATAAAATCACATGTGATTCAACCATTTTCTTATTTTCATAAATATATATAATTCTCGTATAAACGAGACTCTATATATATATATATATATGTATATATATGCAAGTGAGGATGATATGTACCTTGCCGACGAAGGCAGCAGAACCACCGAGCTTAGCGATGGCACAAGCAACGTTAGCTGGTGCACCACCGGGGGCTTTGATGAATCCCTGAGACTCGGCCAAGGAGACGCCAGCAGTATCAGGAACGAAATCGATCAACATCTCTCCAAAACACACTACCATCGAAGAAGCTGCCATTTTCACTCTTTTTTTTTCTCTTCTGATAATGATCCAAACAAAATGAGGATGTTTGGTGAAGACGATGATGAATGCGTGTCTCTATATATATGTATATAATATGGATGAGAGAGAGAAAGAGAGAAATTAGAGTTTTAATGGAAAAATATGTGGGTGAGATGGAGGGATCATGTTTGTTGATGAATTTTCGGATTGATTATTGAAACGTAATTTTGACTCATTATTCTTGCTTTTATCCTTTATTTATTTTAGAGTAAATTAGAATACTACTCGTGTAATTTAACGAGATAGATCTTGATTTTAATATTTTATTTTATTATTTGTCTCTGTCGATATTATAATACGATTTTATGGGTTTTAATAAAGCAATAATGATTTTATTTTTGAATAAAATATAAATTTAAAAATATCATAAAAATTTGAAGAAAAAAGAATCAATGTTGATATAAAATCAACTATTTAAAAGTTCTCATTTTTTATGTAATTTTTTCAATTTTTTTATTATAATTTAATTTAAGTTTAATAACGAAATAAATTATTTTTGGTTTAATAATATAACATTTTATAAATATAATAATTAAGTATTCTATTAAAACTCAATGATTATCCTAATTATATTTTAGAT